GCTGACAATAGGGCACCATGCTGCCGTTACCTGCACCTTTTGTTAAAAGGGTTATGCTACCTGATTTTTAAGTGGAAGGGTCATAGCTCCTCTGACTCCTCTCCCCTAGTTCCAGCATCCTCTGAGTCCCCAGATCCTTCACCTGCCCTAGGAGGCAGAGAATTGGACCAGGAGCTGTTCTCAGGCACCCCAACCACCTATCCAGAGCAAATGGAAGGTCAGGAGTCCCCTGCAAGGACCTAAGCTCATAGGAAGCTCTGGCTTCCAGCCTGGCCAAGAAGCAGAGCTCCCAGGAGGTGGGGAGCAGGGGACATGGTCAGAGTTGTGGCACTCTTGGGCTTCCCCAAATTGCCCAGGGACCTTAGGCATGGGTCTCGTTGGCCCATACAGTAATCTGGCCTCTATTTTGGTGCCACGGCAACAGCCCCTGGTGAGCAAAAGGCATAACTGCAGTGATTTTTCAACATCTTGTGTTTTCTGCTGGGGGGAGGGAGAAGTATTTGTGGGACATTAATTGTGTGCAGTAGTGCAGAATTCCCGCAGGAGATGGCCTTGGGCCGGGGGGAAGAGAAGGGAACCTGCATGGGTCTCTGGGCTGGATGGATGATATCTTCAGGGCTGGGGAAGGACATAGCTGAGGGACTTTAGCCAGGGGGGTCCCGTGTGGGTGCTCTGGCCTTGGGGGACTGAGGCCTGGAGGGGCGGGGGCAGGCTGTTGAAAGGACTGCATGGGCTCAGAAATCTGTCCAGCTGAAGGGAGACAAGCAGCAGCAGTCAGTGTTGGCATAGAGCAGTACAAGTGAATAATGTCTCTCTGGGTATGTCTAAACTGCATCCCTCTGACGGCAGAGCAGATTAGGCAGGTCAACATTGCAAATGACGCAGGGATTTAAATATCCCATGCCTAATTTGCATAAAAATGGCCACCATGTTTGGCCAACTCAGGACTTTGTTGGTAAAAAAGCAGCAGTCTAGAGGGGGATCTGTCGAGAAAGAAAGCCTTTCTTGACAGATCCTGTAAACCCCCCTTGCAGGAGGCATAAGGCATCTGCCGAAAAAGGCTTTCTTTCTCAACCGATCCCCCTCTAGACTGCTGCTTTTTTACCAACAAAGTCCTGAGTTGGCCAAACATGGTGGCCATTTTTATGCAAATTAGGCATGGGATATTTAAATCCCTGCGTCATTTGCAATGTTGACCTGCCTAATCTGCTCTGCCGTCAGAGGGATGCAGTTTAGACATACCCGCTATATGCTGGGCATTTGAGGCCTGAAGGCAGATGGCTTGTCCCTGTAATTAGACTTGGCGCTGACTGCTCTCCTCAAATTATTCTCTTAGGTTATAAAGAACAAAAAATGGAGCTGCAAAGTGTGTGGTGAGAAGCAGTCGTTGCTAAAGGTAGAGAGAGTGTTCTTTTAGACACCTCCATACTTTCTACTGTGTCTTTCCATCAAAACATATATGAACATTATCCTCCTAAATCTCACTTTAAAACCTCTCTCTACCCTAAAACATACAAATCATGCTGACTTTTAGGCTGCAACGCCTGTGTTTCTGCTGTTCATATTATCCCATCCTCTTACCCCACCCCCATCCTATTTGTCCACCTGTTGTAGTCTGTCCAATGAGCTTTCTGGGGCACGGACCACCTTTTGTAACTTGTCCATATAATGTCTGGCACTGTTTCTTTTTGTCACAGTAGAGCTGTAACAGAGCCTTCTCTCCGGCATATCAGCCATCATTTTCACTTTCATTTCCTTTTCAGGTCTATGGGCAAGGCTCTGGATCTGACTGTAGACGCCATGTCCAAAAACTAAACTTGCTGCGGGCTGGGACAGAGGTGGCAGCTAAAGGAACATCTTGGTAAAGCACTGAGTATCACTGGCTTCTTTGTTTACTATGCAAGTGTGGAGGCAGGAAAAGGGAATAAGGGAATTTGTGTGCAGCCATCTTGGTCTTGTTAACAAGAGAGCAAGAGTCAGGCTAAGTCTGTGGCCTGACAACGCGAGATCTGTAATTAGACGCTGCCTTTGCCTCTCGCCTCCATACTGAGATAAGGATAGAATACTGACTCTGGTAGGGACCTTGAGATAAGGAGCATCTGGGTGGAACTAAATAACTGTTAGCCATTGGTGTTTGTAATGGGAAGGAGACTAATTGTTATTGTTATTATATCTAATAGACCGTATATAAACTGCTTCATAATTGCTTGTATTCGAAGATCTGCCTCGGAGGGGGGGGCTCCCCTCCCCGTCCGAACCAGTTTTTCCCTTGCTGCAGCTCGTAATAAAACTGCCTCTGGCTACTTGTTGCTTACAAACTCAGAGTGAGGACAATGTTTTCTTCCACACAAGTCTCACTCGACATATCAGACTTCGAAATGGAAACTTCCCCATAGCCAATTTCTGGAGGGAGTGAATTTCTTACAGATTGCAGATTTCAGGGACATATTATCTAGAGAACATATTACACTAATACTATTATACGTATTAGGTTTTTTTAATAGAAACCCTGTCAAACTCAGTTGATAAGTTGCACCAATTGTGTTTGCATAGTTCGCATGCAAAAAAATGCAATGGTTGCTCTTTGAAACTGGCCTTTCCTGTTTACTTGCTGGATGACCGTGGGAGTGGTGACCTATTGCAGACTCTAAGCCGTGCTGTAAGAGTGAGTCCCAGTATTCTCAGTTTGGGAGGCTAAATGAAAATCCCCAAGTCCTCAGTTGCAGTGTTGGAATTCAAATACTTCCCATTAAGGGAGTATCAGTGGGCATTCCCCGCTGCTAATGTTGAGGGGTTTGTTTAATGTCAGCAGCCTGGGTGTAATGGCCACTGTGCTAGAAAATATGACTGGTTTTCTGTTTCCATTACCATAGAATTCACTTGTGGGAGCCCTGATCTCCAACTGCCCTGGCTGTCCACAAAATCTTCTGTGTCAGCTCATTTGCGGTAGTCAGTCAAAACTAGCGACGTATCCCAGTAAAGTATGTGTAGTGCTTCAACATGTGGCTTTTCTTTATTTCTCCCTCGCTGGGGAAGAAACTATTGTTGGGCTTTAAGAAAAAACTGATCATTAAAAATGAACAGGTCATGTGAGCATTGTAAATGACCCTGACTACTCTGTGTAGTAGAAATGAGTCCTTCTAGACACCCAGTCTTCTTGCAAATATCTGGAAAATAGGCCTTACCATTTCCGCTGGCAAATCCTATAGTTGTGGACTTATTTTCCTACATATTTCTCATTCTGCTCTGTTCCTGGTGCTAATGCTTAGGTGCATATAGATATATCTATAACGACAAGTACCTTAGGCACTCTAGACTAAATCTTTTATTTTTAGGTGTGTAGAAGAACTAGTGCATGATGACAAAGAAAACACAACAATTCCACAGGAAGAAAATTTGTGCTGGCAGGTAAGGCACTATCAGACAAACAGTAGCTGCAAAGCTAAATCAAACATGAAGCAATTGTAAGAAAGTGAGGAGGGTGCTATGTGGTGCAAATTGGTCTGAAGCTAGCTATAAAATCAAGGGAGAAGCCAGCCAGTGAGACACAGGACAGTGTGTGACTGGGAAAGGATATGTGGAAGCTCTGCTCCATTATAATGTGTTAGAACATAACCACTAATACAGCTTAATCTGGGATCTGTTCCCATGAAATGCTGAGCACACTCGATTCTTACTGAAGCCAATTAAAGTTAGTTTTTTTAGTATCTCTGTGGTGACTCCACTTGTGGAGGCTCTTTGGAGGAGTCATTCTGAATCATCCTACAACACTGTAGGAACAAGAGCTGGAATTCAGTCCCTTGGTCAGCCGCTGGAATAAATATCTGGACAAGGACAGTGAAGATCAGGAGGAGTGTACAGACAAAGAGCAGCTGTATTCCCCTAAAAGGAACATTGTGGCAGAACAAAGGTACACAAATAACTTCTTCTGTAATCTTTATTTTAGTTTAATGGTGAGGATTTGTTGGAGCAGACTGGAACATGGATGGTATTTTGGGCACATTCACTAAACTTAGTTGAGTTTGCAGTGACCAATCCAAACTGACCTGCGTGGTGTTGGGTACATGGAGGTGGAAACCTCACCTCTTGTCAAATCTGTTCTTTTTTTTTAACCTCTGAAATTTCCCAGTTGAGCTGATCTAACATCTCTGTGATTCTCATCATCTGCTCCCCCACCAGAAAACGCAAGAGCAGCTTCCACCACAACGATGCTCAGGAGTGCTTGGAGGAAAAGGAGGTTTATGGGCTCACTTACCAAGCCAAGAAAGTCAAAACTTTTGAGGTATTTAGTTGTAGCAAGTGCTTCCTTCCCATAAATTATTTTCTTAGGTCTTTTTGCGTGTGTGTGTGTTTCATTCAGAGGTTACTATAAAAGTCATCTCCCTGCCTTTCTAGGGATGTCAAAATGACTTTTAGGGAAATGTGTAATTGCTTAAATTTTCAGCAGTTACATGTTTACACGTGGAGGGGAAACGGCTTCCTTGGAGCTGCCTCTGCTTTCCCACCTCCTGTGTCTGATATTTGTGAGTCTGTATTGTCACCTTTTTACTCTTAGGATTGTTTTCTTCTTTAATTTAAAAGTGTGAGGGGGGGTTTTTTGTTTGGTGTGGGTTTTTTTGTTTGTTTTTTGTATTAGTAATAGTTATTTTATTCTTAGAATATTTTGTACTAGATCACTTTTTACAAAAGCAGCTATGTAATCCTTACTTTTGTGAAGCAACTATGTAATTTTTGTCTGTGTGAGTGAAGAATGTGTTTGTTTCAAGGGATTCATTAGTCTGAAGGCTAGCACAAAGGAAACCAGGGCATGGGGTGTGTGGGTGTAGCTCATCAACTCTTTTTTAGCCAGCTGCCCAGCATACAATTTCATTCAATCCCTGGTTTGGAAACAGGAGGCTTGCTTAATTTAAGAATTATGGACTGGAGCTTAGCTCTTTATTTATGAAAGTTACATTTCACTCCTCTCAACCAGAGGACACTGAGCTACGAAAGGGATAGAAATATGGAACTATTTGTGAAATCTCTTACAACTGGATTCTTATTTGGTAAATTCTGAGGCAGTAGCAATGTTGCATGTAAGCATGCACATTAACCAATGAGCGTGGGCTTATCTGTTAACCATGTACATGGGTTACACATACTCCTT